CCAGACCCAGTGGCTTAAACTCATGCCAGGTGCGTGTGTGTGTGTGCACAAGATGCCAAGAGGAGAATGGAGAAGGGATTACGGTGTGGCCATCCCCCCTGGGGGGTGATTTCTCGCTTTCTGTCTCTCTGTCTCTCTCTGTCTGTCTAGTGAGTGCACGCGCCCTATAGCAAAAACCTCTCCAAAAACAAAACAAAAGATTGATAAGACTGTTAATAATACTATTGTGTGCCAGGACCAGCAGGTGGCGTAATGGTTACACTGCTGGACTCCCATGTAAATCAACCATGGTTCAAGTCCCAGATCCATTGGCTTAGAACTCACACAAAATCCCGAGAGGAGAATGGAGAAGAAGGGATTGCAGGGTGCCCATCACCCCTAGGGGGGTGATTTCTCACTTTATTTTTCCCCGTCTCTGGCAAGCACACATGCCCGATAGCAAAAATCTCTTTCCAAAAAAGACCCCAAAAAAACCATAAATGATTGTGTGCCACAAATAGCTACACATGTCCCAATTTCAGAGAATTATAAATGTTAGGAAAAAAATATGTATCTTGCAATTGATTAGATTCCCAGTTTGCGATGTGTCTTCTTTTTTAGATTTTTCTACCATAGGGCTTATGCAACAAAGAGAGAGAGGGGGAAAGTGAAAAGTCACCCCCTACCCCAGGGGGCTAGCCACGTCACAATCCCTTCTCCTCCATTCTCCTCTCGGGATTTTGGGCATGCACGCACACATACTTAGTGTGAGATTCAAGCTGCTGGAGTCCAGTATTCGAGCCATGGTGAGCCATTTGGGAGTCCAACACTCCAATCATTATGTCATCTGCTGGCCCCAAGGTAAGTTTTTTTTTTTTTGGAGAGGTTTTGGCTATAGGGTGCGTACGCTCGCCAGACAGACAGAGAGAGACAGAGAGACAGAAAACGAGAAATCACCCCCCAGGAGGGATGGCCACGCTGCAGTCCCTTCTCCTCCATTCTCCTCTCGGAATCTTGGGCACGCACGCACACGCGCCCGGCGTGAGTTTAAGCCACCGGGTCCGAGATGCGAACCGCAGTTGACTACGTGGGAGTCCAACGACATAGCCATTACGCCAACTGCCAGTCCCGCCCTGTGTGAATTTCAAGATACCAGGTTTGAGACTTAAGTCAATCAGCCACTTAAGAGTCTAGTGCCTTAACCACCATGCCACCTGCTGGCTCTGGTTTTTACAAGTTTAAACTTCCTAGATCTTCTTGAATCAGCCATTTTATCATGATGGGTTGGCTCATTCTGTCTCTAATAAAACTTCTGTCATAGTTTAGTTTGTCTATTATTTATGTAGCCTGTGCAGCTTTCTTCCAATTAGTATTTGCTGTGTTTTTAACATCCCTTTTCTTGAACCTTCCAGTGACCTTATGTTGACGTATGTCATTTAGAAAATATATAACTAGATATCTTTAATGAAGTCTGGTGGTATTTGTCATTTAACTTGAGAGTTTAGTCTGCTTACATTTACTGTGATTCTTAATATAGTTGGCCTTGTTTCTACTATCTTACTTTTTTTGCTTTCTATTTCTATTTCCCTTCCTGTTGGTGCAGTCATTGGCTGTCAGCCTAATTGTTGTTCCTTTGTAGGTGATCTGTCTTAACTCCGTGACTGTTTTCTGATCTCTTTGTTTTTGGTGTTCTGAAGTTTCACCAAAGTTTGTCTAGGTATGGATCTCTTTTTATTTATCTGGTTTGATATACTTTTAATGTCATTCATTGTGCAGACTTCTCAAAAATTCTCTCCAATAACTCTCCTTCATTTCTCCTTTTCTTTATCTCTGGGATTCTGATTTCACTTAAGCTGGCCTTTCATTCTGTTCTTATAAATCAGCCTCCCTTCATATTTCCCACTTCCTTGTCTTTCTGAGTTGGTTTGAGGGATCTGATTTCTTCAAATCTGACTTCCAGTTCATCAGTCCTTCCTTTGACCATTTCTAATTTGCTAACACCTATGATTTCAGTAATTACATTTTTCCTTTATAAGAGCTTCATTTAATTCCTTTGCATGTCTACCCAGTCATCTGAAGATAGTGTCCTGGAACCAGCAGTTAGCGTAATGGCTATGTGGCTGGACTCCCATGTAGTCGACTGTGGTTCGAGTCCTGGACCCGGTGGCTTAAACTCATGCCGAGTGCGTGTGCATGCGTGCCCAAGATCCCAAGAGGAGAATGGAGGAGAAGGGATTGCGGGGTGGCCATCCCCCCTGGGGGGTGATTTCTCGCTTTCTGTCTCTCTGTCTCTCTCTCTGTCTTTCTGGCGAGCGCACATGCCCTATAGCAAAAACCTCTCAAAAAAAAAAAAAAAAAAGATAGTGTCCTGTCTCCTGTTCTGTGATTCTAGCTTTTCTTTCCTTAATCATCTCACACATAATCGATAGCACCAATTTCTGAAATCCTTGTAGTCTAAACTTATCTTTTGTTTTTCTCTGCTGTCTTTCTTTCATGGTGACTTGTTTCCTTGTGTGTTTGGTCATTCTCATTGCCAGCTCCTGTTTATTTGCTCTTAATCTGCGGAAAATCTTGGCACCTGAATTGAGGATTCTTTCCTCCAGGAGAACTTTGGTTATCTTCCACAGGAGCCCTTCATTCACCTCCAGATTTCTGTATAAATCCAGGAAGCTTGAACCCACAGCACCACCCCATGTCCCCAGCCCACTCAGGGGTGTCTGCTTGGTACATTCTCTGTTTCTTGAGAAGAACCCTGTATGATTTAAACAGAAAACTGTCCTTATGCCGGGCACAGGGTCTGGCCACCACTGGTGCATTCTTATTTGGGGAACAATCAGATGTCCGGGAAGGAGGCAGAGTGGACTTAAAGACCCTCCAAATCCACTGTATTCAGACCTCTCCTTATCTTCCCCAGGCCTGGCCAGCATGACCCAGAACTTGGAGCCACTTCTGAAGAAGCAGGGCTGGGACTGGGCGTGAGTCCTGGTGGTGGGGTCTAAGGGTAGATTGGTGGGGTGGGGTTGGGGGGCTCCCAGGGTCCCTCAGGCCCAGTTCTGATGTGTGGGACTCTTCTGATCTGCTTTCCTCCTCAGGCTCTCTCTGGTTAAACTGACCATCCGTGTGGGTTTGGCAGTAGTGGGATCCATGCTGGGAGCCTTCCTGACCTTCCCAGGCCTGCGGTTGGCCCAGACCCACCGTGATGCACTGACCATGTCGGAGGATCGGCCCCTGATGCAGTTATGTGGGCTTCCTGGTGGAGAGGGAGTTGTTTATTAGGGAACCTAGGGGAGACACTGAGTGGTTGAGGAAGCAGCCCAGGCCTCACTCCTTTGCTCCTTGGCGCCCCCAGGCTCCTCCTGCATACCAGTTTCTTGTCTCCTCTATTCATTCTGTGGCTCTGGACCAAGCCGATCGCGCGAGACTTCCTGCACCAAGCGCCCGTTGGGGGAAAACCTGTCACCTTGTGCGTAAAGGGAGGCTGGCAGGGAGGGCAATGGGGGCTTCTTGTGTACTTCAAACCCTGAAACTCGGTACAGAGTCTGGGCAAAGATCTTGGGGCGTGGGGAAGTGGCCTTGCTAGTCCCGACCCTCACCTGTCCACACAGGCTGTCAGACTCCGCCTATGACTCCATG